TCTTAATAACGAACGTAACAGCATGGTTGAACTTCAACGTTACCGCTCGTGGAATATTTCTCGCCTAACGAGCCACGGGGTTCAACCGCCATTATAGTTACGGTTCCACTAACGTAATTGGGGTCGTAAATGAAACGAGGACCGCGACGGAGTAAGAGATCGTAATTATGTCGCTGTTTATCGTATCGGGGCATTACAAAAGATCATGGAAACTTAAAGACGGCCAAACTTTCTTATCTCTCGCGACAGTAAATGTAAAAGGACTCGTGGATAAGATAGGCTATCGCGTAGGATAAACAGCCGGGGCCCCGTGACAATGGTAGCCGTGCACCCCCGTGGGCTTCCGGTTTCGGGCAAGAAAATAAACCGTCCCGTACACTCCCGGTCGACGTCAAGATAACGTCCGTGCTCGTGGACTCCTTATCGTCGAGTCCCAAAAATCACCGACTGGAAATAAAAAAAAAAAAAGAAACGAGGACGGAACGACGAAACGGCGGTGGAAGTAAATCGATTAGACCGGCTCTTAGGCATTCGTGGACGTTCGGTGTGTCGATTAATTAAAGGGTCGGTGACAATCGCGTGACCGGAAGCGAGCGAGAACCGCTTACGGCGGTCTACGTAGGCGTTGGTCCCGTGTTTCCAGTTTGTACGAGACTCCTCCGTAATTCTGTCGCCGATAAGCGAAACGTGAAGCGTATCGACCGCGTGGAAGTTCCCCGACGTATAAATTCCGTGTTGTTTCTATCCGAAGCGCGATGCTATCGATCGATTCGCGCCAAAACGCGAACGGTTAATGGTATTTTAACCCCTGCAAATAGCACATTCGATCATAAAAACTTCGGGGATATTCCTGACGTCGATAGCGTTGTTAAAACGATTAAAAATATTAAGGTGTGTTTATTGCAATTGCAACCACTGAATGGGGATAAAATTCTTCCGTAAGCGGATCGTAGGAGACACGAAAATAATGGGGAACGTGTTTCGTCGAGCGTACGGGTTTCCGTCGGGACGTGTGCGCCCCGACGCCCGCGAGTAGCGTGAAAAATGCCGCTACGCCGTGCGCCGTTGCGCGTTCAGCGAATTTTTCTTGCGCGATATCCGTCCATCGATCCCGCTTTTATGTGTTTTCGGGCAACGCGGAGCTAATGGCGCATGCTCGTCGCACACGCGTCTATCGGTTGTTTCGCGCTTCGCCGAAAATACCAAAGTTCCACCGATTATTTAATTGCAATTATTCGCGTGCTATGGAAATTTCTTAACTGCCCAAATGTTCGAACATTTTCCACCCCTCCCTGCGTCGCCCCTTGTGCGTCGAGACCCGGTGAATACACGCGGGCGAACGCACTTCGGTTCGTTTGAGCGCGCAGAATGGGACTTGCACCGTGACACGCAAGACCTGCCACCCCTTTTAATCCCATATTACCCTTCCCCGAAAGGAAAAAAAGGATCCGGGATCCGGTTCGAGGTCGATTCCCTCGACTTACGCTCAAGGTTCGAGCGTGTGACACGGCCATTAAAACACAATAGATCATTTCGAGCCTCGTGTATAATTAATTAAATGAATGCATGCAGGAATGTAACGTAATTTGTCTTCCTTCGTGCTCGCCTTCGTCGGAGTAGGGCAGAATTTTATTAAAAATAATTTTCAACTCAAACATATCGGTGATAGCCGGCTGTGTCTCTTTTACGAGACCGCCATATTGCATTAATGGCGGCCGAAAGGCTCTACGGAGTCGTCCCGATCGTTTTTATCGCGCCCTAAAAATGAGAAATTCGTGGCAAAATACAGGATGCGATTACCTTTACAACGGTATCTTTTATTCGTTGTAGGAAGTCTAGTCCATCGAAAGTATAGTTTTCGGTACGTAACGATCGTTTGGCCATCGTCCACGTCTCGATTCGTCGTGTTCGCGTAATCTCGCGTAATGACGGTATTACGCGTACAACGTTCCCGACCGCTGGAACGAATCGAATTCTTCGTCCGTTCGCTCGTGTTACATGATCGACTAACGAAGCGCAACGAGAAACAGCGTATTCCGCCGCGGAAGATCGAGAACCACTGACTTGGCAAATTTTGTTAAGTTAAGTGGTGCCATAAATCAGAGATGGGAAACATTCTATTCGAATAATAGATAATCAATAAGACCCAACGTGCAGCAATTTGCTCGTGACGCTTAATCGATCGAACGCATAAATTTTTATCCGCTCGTTGCGGTATATTTCATTTCGTAATTGAAATTTTTATTTTTACTTAACGAGTTAACGCACGAACGCTTGTTCATCTTCGATTCGTTGCTCGAAATTCTCATACGGATACCAATTTCGCTCACCTCTGTTACGAATGATTAATTCGTAACAAATACCAGGGTCTTCCATTCACCGCCCAGAACCATAACCTAGAAGATCGTTAAAAATATTCTTTCCGTTTAATTTTATCCTCTCTGTTTCACAGTTGGTTCATAAAATAAACTAAACGTTATTTAAATATTCTCGGTCATCATAAAATATCTTGTGTATCTTTCCGAGCAGTTAAAAAAACACACACATATCTTCCGACGAAGACTTGGACACCGTCCAAAATGTTAAGTTATAGTTTAATGCCCGACAACTCAATAAATCGCTGGCAAAAAAGTCTCAGCCACTAAATTCTAACAGCAAGAACACAACTTGTGTTTGTAGGAAAATATTGGTGGAAAAAGGAACAGACCCTGAGTTAGGTTATGTTAGGTACAGAAACTACTGCCCAAGAGATCCCCAAAAAAGGGAACGAAACTTCGAGTAACGTTCTAGCTTAACGTTTCAATCGCTGAAATTGAATAGAAATTCTGAAAACATAAATGATTTGATATTCCTCTCGAGAGCCCGCCAAGGACTCTCGTTCATCAATGGCGCCCACGGAAGTAGCGAAGTTTGAGAAACGCTGATCAACGCGAACGGTGCGACCTATTATTAATATTACCGCGTTAATTGCTTAATCCTCCGGCGTTAAATGCCCGGAAGAATCAAGGCGGATTTCGCGATGTTAATTCGCGCCAGGAAACCTCGAACCAAGTCGTGCAAACGTCCGGCCAGACGGCGACGACACGACAATTGGGAGCGCGAGAGCAATCCGCGGGGTCAACTCGCTAGGAAATTCATTTAATAGGCAGGAACGAGGCAAGGTGCCGCCGGGATTGGCCGAGGCTGATTCCATTGGTCCTTCGTCGCAGCCAGCGCGCCCGTTCGGCTTATAGGCTCAAGTAGAAACGACCAATTTTTTTTCCCTCGCAACAGACAACGACATCTTCCTTCTTTTTATTCCGTACGCGCGCGCCACTTCGAGACGAATTGTCTCGTTCGTCGCGGACGTTGCATCGAGAAACTCGTTCGAACGTGAATTGCGTAACACTGACCGTAAACCGGACGATTCATGCGATCGAATTTACAAATTCGCAACGGGCACCTGCACGAAACGAAACGCGTAATACTCGATTCTTTTTACGATTCTCCCACCCTTGGAATAGCTCGATGAACGCGAATTCATAGGTTAGGTTTGGAAAACAAAGCCTCGGCTGCACTTTAGCAACGCTAGAGGCGAAAAGAACTCTTACGTTCGACACGTGTTCTCATAACCTACAAAAATTGTACACCTGAAACCGTCCGTTCGTGTCCCAGGGCCCGCGTAATCGAAAACGTCTGGCCGGATTAACTGCATCCGAAAACAGTTACTGGCGACTGTAATTTGTCAAGTTAATCGGCCGTGACGGGTTATCGGACGGGATTACGTAATTTTCCAAGAGCGAGATCGATATACGTTTTTCTCTGTTTCGCGAGGTCCGGCGACCGTTGCACCGATGCTCTTCTCCTAAAGGTTGTCGGGGACAGATGCGCGCGAAACAGAAAAGGTGACAGCGAAATGAGAGAAAACAAAAAAAAAACGAAGAAGAAACGGCGCTGCGAGAGAGAGCGTCGCGAATTCGCAAACAAGTTTTCCCAGAGCCGCAGCTCGACGAGCCAGACGAGAGCGATCGATAAATTTAATTATGCTCAACGGCCATTCTTTCCCGGCCGTTGCAATCCTAATTCCGATGCACGAACGATTTCATGCTCGTTCGCGAGCATTCGTGTACAGATAAAACAGTGCCACTGGTCGCGTCGTTAACGCGCGAGATAATGATAAGATAACAAAAGGTAGATGAAGTAAACAGAAGAGAAGATTCTGGCTCGGCGCGCGCAGCGAACCGTGCATTACATCATTTCCAAACACTCGTAATTTAACGAAGAAAAATTCAGCTGAGCTCCGCTCCACGAACGAATAGGGATAACTCGGCGTTTCGTGGTTCCGTTCCAACGTGGAATTTGCACGTCCGTCGACGCCGACGACGTTTTAATTTCATTCGCGCGTCGATACTTTTCCTTGACATTTTTGCGCTTACGCAACGCGCCTCGGTTGCACCTGGGACATCACGCGTTTCGAGAAGCAGAAAATAAACCGACACGAGTAAACAGCGTCGGTGCCGTGAACAGAAACGAAAACTGTCTCCGCGGCCCGGAACAAATATTTGCACGATCGACGTGCCTTTTTTGTTCGCACATGACGTTACTTATTATCGCGGAACCAATCGCGAGTGAAAGTACCACGGCGGTACCGAAAATTCGAAACCTAAGACGAATACACGTATTCGCGTCAAAGGAGTTATTTTCGTGTCGGTGAACGTTGGACGCGACTCGTGTAGAAAGTGGACGGTCGAAGGACAGGAAGTAGGAAGCCCGTAACGATTATCTAAGGCATCCCGTGTGTCATCCGACGGCAGCATTTTATGTAACACGATTCGTGTAATCGCGATCCTCTTTCGCCGGCATGACCACCGCACTCGGGGAGGCTCAAAGATGGCCTCTCCTGTCCGTTGCTTATCAAATTTTGTTAAACATTGCTTGAACGAAACGGAACCCCATTCTAGCACGCTTTCATCGATCGTACTGCGTCGAGGATAAATCAAAGAGTAATCGTCTGTACTTACGATAACGACGAACGCTGCAATATTCCAGTGATCCGCTACGAAAGCACTCCCGTATCAACGACAAATCCACCACCTGATCCCAAACTTTCGAGATTAGGGCACACGTTTCACTGGCCGGATCGACCGTACACTTGCCTTTGTTTAAACGCGAAACGAACGGACCCACGACGCACGATTCAAAGATAAAGAAGACACTGCACCGGAGGGAGGATCGCGTTAATAATACGCGAAACACTCGGGTCATCCGCGGATTCGATCGTTCGCAATCAGTTGTCGTAAACACTGGCCGCCATGCTCTCTCAGCACCTGTCAATATCAGCGTACATCGGCGCCATCTACTGGCGGTGACACGAATCGCCATTACTGTCGCCGTCTGGCGGTGCTCGCCAGTACGTTCCTTATGGTGGCCATAGTATCTACTGCTGCAAAGTTCGAACAACGTTTCGGCATAGACTAAGTATACGAGTAGATCTTTCACCCACTGTATTTTTTCGGCCCATTTTTCTGGGGCTCTAGTGCCCCATTACCATTTTCGTGTCACTCGCAACATTACCAACAGATTTAGAAATGAATTTCAATCCTTTCCCCATAGTCAACTCGATGTATTTATGCACACGTTGCAACTGTCTGTCCATCAATACTAATTTAGTGAATAGTTTCGCAACTAACGAGGACATGTATACCTATTATACCTAACCGAGGTAAAGAATAGACCTATCGTTAGTGGGATGAAGGCTATTGTTGTATCACGAGTGTCTTATAACATGAGATACACTCTTCCAAAGTGGAACAAAATGTTAAAAAGATCATGCATCAAATTGTAAGGGAATCCTCGTAAGGAGGCTTTAATCTTCGACTTTGTGATGGTTTTAATGAGTCGTTGATTAAACAACTAGCTTATGGTCACTGGTGGTCAACAGTGAGGTTGACATCAAGGTCAGCGGTCCAGTGAAGATCCAGAAATGGTCAAAAGGTGAGATCGATCGAAATAGTTACTTTGTAGACAAGACAGCCTTACCTGTTAACTTCAACCTTGGCTCTGACTGGTCTCCCCACCCTTTCATCATTTTAATCATATAAGCAGGGTCTCTGCGAAGAATTCTTCAGTCGCGTCGCGGATTCGGGAGTGGGCAAATAGCCAGAAGTGAACCGGGGACCGCTGCTGACCTCTGATGGCCGCTGCTGACCACTACTGGCCAACGATGACCATGGCTGACCAGTGCTGACCACTACTGACCAATACTGACCACTACTGACCAGTGCTGACTCGCGTTCCTGCCACTACTGACCACTGCTGACCACTACTGACCTCTACTGACCAGTGCCGGACGGTGATGACTACGGTAAGAACTGTTTAAAAATTCTCTCCCCTCCTTTATTCTATCGTTTGATACCAATTTCGTTTCACTGAACTGATTTTGCCCTGGTTGTCTAACTGACGTTGCTATAATATGAATATTTTCTTACTTTACAGCTGACCCACTGGTAACTACCCTATGTACTGACAACAAGTAGTAAGTCCACTCCACTTATTTATATTTTATTATTTTTATTTGTTTGTTTGATGTGAATTCAACTTCATTTATTTCTTCGAATTTATGTGATTGCTTCGATATGTATAATATTGCAGGATATATTAATGTAACATTGTTTTCGATCATATACTATATTTGTTTCTATCCAATATCATGAATTTTTATTTTTAAGCTAGGTGATAGGTTGATAGGTCATTTTTAAGTGTTTAAAAACCTCCTATTAACTCCTTAGCTTAATGATGTTTCAGAGACGTGATGAGTCTACCAGGTCAAACATGAACAAGACGTCTCAGAGAAGTGATAAGTCTACCGGGCCAAACATTGGTGACGCTTTTGGCACAGTTGGAAATTAAATCGTAAGGCAAAGGGGTAAAACAACTGGTTGTATACGTGCTTTCTTTGGCAAGTGTAGTTAGTACCTTTTGCTTAAAATTATAATCTTCTTGCACACCGCGATTTTTAAGATGACAAATGTCATAGTAGATTCATTTTTAATTTGACACTAATTTTAAAATGAATATATAATGAGTACATATACATATATGAATAGTTCACTTTCTCTCGTCCGCTCGTTCTCTGGTTCTCGCTTTCCGAGATTATGTCTCGACCGAAAGGACCGGAGAGTTTTATGCTCGATCACCTCTGTTTGATAGAATGAAACATGTGACGCCTGTGTATTAGGTGTGATAGCTCTTACCGCTTCAACCCTGGTGCAGCTTGGTTCAGCTTAAGTGGGGCCTCGCCGAGCGCATATATTCTCCTCTTTATACGGAAAAGAGAATGACCTCCGGCGAGAGTCCCTGACCCATATCCGTTCTCGAGTACTAAGCGGGTCCTGTTGTGATCCTGTGTCCTCCAGGACCCGGCGGTTGTACGTAGAGAGGTCCGATCGACGTGGGTCAGGGGCGCGACTTGCTTTTCTGATAATCAAGGCCGGGGGGGATCAATCTGATACCCACACTCACTGCACGCTATGAGCACGTGTCGCGTCGCGTTTTATTTAAGCGTGCGATGTTTTTACACGCCGCAATTTTCAATATGACAAATATCGTAATATCGATCGAAAGTAGAGTCATGATTTTAATATCTCTTATAATACTTATAATTATATTCAGTTTAGAATCAGTGTCAAATTAGTAGCTTCCGATTGTTCTTTACATTCTTCAATAATTAAATTCACTTTCATAATTCAGTTGATGACTTTGAGTATCTTCGATATCGAAAGATATCGAAGATACCCAAAGTCTTTCTTTACTTATTAAAATATATCATTAAATTGACGTGCAAGAAGATATTTCGCGACGAATACATTTTAGAGTCAAAGTAACCTCGCTTATTATGTACTATTTTTACTTTCTCACTGCACTTGCCTGTAGTTGTAGTATTCGTAGTTTTACTTGTTTTGTTTTGTTTGTTCTCTTACTAATCTATTAGACAAGTTTCTGTTACAGACCAAATTCCTACGGAAGTGTTGGGTTTATAGAGGTAACAATTAAGAATTGGTACAATTTTGATTGATATTGCTTCGTTTGTGTTCCAGGAAATCATCGTGGGATAAATAGAAGAAAGAAGAAAGAAGAATGTATTTCATGTATTTTGTTTCACATTGCTTACTTTATGTTTCAATAATTTAGATTTATAGAAGTAACACTTAAGAATTGTTACAATTTTGATTGATATTGCTTCATTTTGTTAGATGATTAGATAGGTAGGATGTAAACGAATTTAGATTTATAGTTAGGCAAGACTTTGGTTCTCTATATTAATAATTATATCAGGCAGGCAATATTTTGGTCTATTTCTCGGTTTTGTTGATGAACTCTTTCGTTGGTTGTTTCCTTCGTTGGTTGCGATTTCGTTTATTGCTTCTTCTCTCATCACAAAAGATATTTATTAATGGAGGGTGGTTGGGAATCGGTTAGGGCGGGTCTCCATTCGCAGCAACCTCCTCGTGGTGAGACCTGGGTAATATTATTTATCGTTTAATTAATAATCGTATCGCTCTTAGCTGGGTAATGCAATTATTAATTGAAATCTAAATAATATTAGCAAATTGGCTGCGATCCGCTTTGCATAGGTCATCATAAATATAGAGTTTCTTCAGTAGGTTAGTTTTGATTCTCATTGATTCATCAAAGATTCTAGAGTCCATTTTTATGGGGTCTCGAAGCCCCATTACCATTTTCGTGTAAAATTCGCAATGTTATCAACAGATTTAGAAATGAATTTCACCTTATGGACTTTCGTGGCCGAATCTGACTGCCATACCGACGTGAAAATTCGGAGGTGATTTTAGCGGTCTCTTCTCATGGATAGCGGTCAGTTGAGCAACTCACTGAATTAGTGTGATAGGCAGCAGCTAGTCGTGTAAATGCATATCAGTTGAAAAATACGAATTATTCGCGATTCCTTGATCAGTTAAAGTTGTAAATAATTTCCTAAAATCAGTCTATCCGAGGTTTCTAGCTGAGGTATCTCTCGGGTTCGTAATACAAGCTTCGTGAGACATCGGAGCTCCCCCCGCCCCGCCACCTAATTCCCGAGCGTTGCCGAGCACAGCGGACGGCCATCATTCGTACTTTGAAAATAAACATAGCAGGACGTGTCGAGACGTATCGGCGTTTCGCGACCGAGGTGCGTATTTCTAACCTGTTTATCCTTCCACGATCTCTTGCAATACGGTTTCGATTTAATCATTACTTAATTGTAATAATCGTTCTTGTACTTTAATGCATCGTTCTTTCGTTTCTGTTGCAGTCTCTGATTGAAATTCGACGCCATGGAGAGTTTCATTGGCGCGTAAACGACACCATAACAGATGGCGGACGAGTCGAAAAATTTTGGAGGGAGTATTGGTAACTTCTAAACAATTGTAACCAAAATTAACATTCATATCAATATTTATATACTTGTATCTCTTTATTGTGTCATTCATTGCAAGCATGATAATAATTTGATAATCGGCCATTGTTAAGATAAATTATGAAAATCTTTGACAAACCTTTTATCCACTTCGATATAATATCGAAGTATACAGAAATGGCGTCGGTAGATATCGACGATAAATTGAAATAATTTATATTTACCTGTATTCTGATCGCGATTAAATATTTCCGAGTGTTATTTATTTAATTGATCGTTCATATTTCTTTATGAATTGTTGTAATTGCAATTTGCATACATATTTCGATGCAAGTTTAAGAAAATGTAGTAACTTCGGCGTTGAAATATGCTATTCGAGCACAAATAACCAACGAACTTTAATTCTTGCAAATTTCGGAATATTTATAAAAATTACGGGATATTCTGACGTTCGAGAAAGCAAACATAATCATGCTTACAACTCTAATGATGAAACTTGGTGATATAATATTTATAAATTGAATAATTACTTGTACGCAATTATTTTCGTAGATAATATTTTATCGTTGAAATTCTCATTGATTGAGAATATTTCGCCTTCGTGGCATTGAATTTTTACGTGGTAAACTATGCATACAGTAGTATTAAGTAAAGCAGTATTTCTGTTGACGAACTTTTGTAAGAAGAAATAAGAAAATCGATAGGCAAAGCACAGATGTGCTTGTTGTGTTTCTTGTCTCCTGTCCCTTTCTTTTCAGCTCTTTTCTTTCCAGGAAATTTGTTGGCCGAGCGCAATGCGGCCGGTAGATTCAGTGATTGTGCGTAGCAAACAAGTTTGTTTCTCGGGGCAAAGTGACCCCGAGTACGTTATCGTTCGCGATGTTAGG